GAGGCTGCATATTCTCTTGGCAGACAATACTTGCTTTTAGCAATTCATTAAAAATATTAGCTGAATTTTTTTTTTTTTTTTGAGATAGGGTCTTGCTTTGTCACCCAGGCAGCGACACAATCATGGTTCACTGCAGCCTCAACCTCCTGGGCTCAAGCAATACTCTTGCCTCAGCCTCCCAAGGAGCCAGGACCACAGGCATGTGCCACCACATCTGGCTAATTTTTGTCTATTTTTTTTTTTTAGAGAGAGGGGACTCATTATGTTGCCTAGGCTGGTCTCAAACTCCTGGACTCAAATGACTCTCCCACCTCAGCCTCTCAAAGCATTGGGATTATAGGCATAAGCCACTGTCCTCAACCTGAATTCTTTTCACCTATGTGTGGCAGTGTCTTCCTCAGATGAGTAAATGCTTATGTCCTGTCTCTTTATCCTTAGGTTTTGGATTAGTTTGTTACTTGGCAACATCAACTCTATGGTTGTGTTCAAGAAAAGTTGTGAATTTGGAGATAGTTAGAATTTTTCTTCTTTCTAGCTTTCTCCATCCTATACAGATGGCCCACAGGCTTTTAAAATCAGAAGTTAGTATTTAGAAATAACTATTTGAAATCTCTCATATTAAAGAAGTTGAGACCTAGAGAGATCACACCCCTAACTCAACTATCACTGAGTTGTTCAACATAACAGGTGCATGTTAGAAGGGCAGAAAATTGGAAACAACCTAAATCACCCCTAGGATGTGGTTAAATAAATGACAATATGTCCACGTAAGTGAATGTTATTGAGTCTTTCATGATTTTATAGATAACTTTATTGACACTGGAAAATGTGTATTTTGGCTGGGTGTGGTGGCTCTCGCCTGTTATCCCAGCACTTTGGGAGCCCGAGGCCGGTGGATCACAAGGTCAGGAGTTCGAGACCAGCCTGGTCAACATGGCGAAACATCATCTCTACTAAAAATACAAAAACTAGCCAGGTGTGGTGGCACGCACTTGTAGTCCCAGCTACTCTGGAGGCTGAGGCAGGAGAGTCACTTGAATCCGGGAGATGGAGGTTGCCGTGAGCTGAGATCGAGCCACTGCACTCCAGACTGGGCAAGAGTGAGAATTCATCTCAAAAAATAATAAGTAAAAAAATGTTTATTTCATAAATAAAGTGTAAACAGGAGATTATAAGACACTAGATACAATATGATTGCTTTTTATTGTAAGAAAAAAGTAATCAATGGCAGCATATGGGGACTTATGGTATCTTGTTTTTATCAGTACAGTAATATTTACTGCATTGTAAATCATAATAGATAATTTTATGCATTCTAGGTATAATGTATTAGTCTGTTCTCACACTGCTAATAATTATAGACATACCTGAGACTGGGTAATTTATAAAGAAAAAGGCATTTAATGGACTCATAATTCCACATGGCTGGGGAGTCCACACAATCATGGTGCAAGGCAGAGGAGGAGAAAGGCATGTTTTACATGGCAGCAGGCAAGAGCGTGTGCAGGGGAACTCCCCTTTATAAAAACCATCAGATCGCGTGAGACTTATTCACTATCATGAGAACAGCATGGGAAAGACCTGCCCTCCCACGAATTGTGGGAGCTACAATATGAGATTTGGGTGGGGACACAGACAAACCATATCATCTATTTACAGCTATATAGAAGTATATGTACGTCTGGGAACAGAAAAAAAAATAGTATTAAAGTGGTTGAATTTGCAATGTATGTTTCTCTTTAAGTTTCCTATATTATAAAAATGAACATAATGTTTTGAGGAAAATATTCATTGTGAATATTTAAGTTTTGTCCAGAGGTCCTGAGTTGGATATGTGAGGTAAGATGCTCATGAACGCTGCAGATAAACTGATGCACACACAGTCACAGCAGCTGATTCTGACTTAGGAACATTTCACTCTCCTTTTCCTTGGTTCATTTTGGTGGTTCAGATCTCTTCCAGAAGTAACATACATCAAGAAAGAAGAGATTATACATGTCTAGCAAGGCCTGTCAGAAATATATTTGGTGCCCTTGATAATTTCCCAATCAAGACAGAGAACACCAAGGTACAACCACATAGGGCATCGGAGCTGGTACGGCAAAGGGGAAGGAGAGATTCCTACTTCTGTTGATGACACTGGAACCTTGCAAGCTGGACATCTTGGAACAATAGACACAGCTGCTCGAACTCAAAGGTGGAGCAAACACTTCTGCATGTTGCAAAGGCTAGTTATTGCCTATTTGGTAGGCAAAAAATTTTAAATATTTGGCATAAGTTTTTTTAAAGTATAAAATGAATTGAGTCAAGAATTTGACATTTATTCAATTAACAAGTTGGGGTTGGAAGCTAAATTTAAATCTTACACAAAATGAAACTTCCAATTAAAATGTCAAAAGATTGACATCACAGAATGAAAGAACCAGGAACACTGGAAGCAGGGACTTTTGTTGTTTTCATTCAATAGGAAGGAACATTTCTTTCTTCTCCATATAAACTGGATGTTCTTTGTTGAGCGTTGTCACTGCTAAAGTGCTTTTTCATTGTTACACTGCATCAATCGTTTCCCTGTGGCAGGGTACTAATTTATCAGTTGAAAAGCCACTAGGCAATGACTACAAACATTACAGGAAGCAGGTCAACATGATTATCGTCAGTCACTCTGTAACCGAGAAACCTAAAATGCAAAGAAAATTATGTAGCCTCAAGTCCCCAGGAAGCCAGTGTCTGCATTTATTGCCTAGATTTAGCTATTTTATTTTCTCAGTCCTTCAGACAACCTTAACGTATTAAAAAAATTGCCTAGGGATGAGATCTTAGTGATTGTCTACACAGAATGTATGTGTGTGTGTGGTTATTTCCAATAAACATTGAGTTCTAGTTTCTCTTTCATGGTCAAGGCCGTGATGCTAAAAAGCTGCAAGAAGTTTTTCCCTGGCTCAGTTATGCTTTTACAAATTTTGCAAAATGGTTCTCTACTAAATTAGAATAGACAGCTCAAGACACGCCAGAATCATAAAGCATGTGCATTATTATTCTTAGGTTAGAAATATTTGGGGTGGAGGGTAGATGGTAGCATGGCAGCAAAATATTCTCTAACTCACCAAGATGGTGAATGTAAAAAAGAATGTCAGCAATAATCAATACCATTCTTCACAAAAATAGTAGGCAGAGATCCCGCAGCTTTCATACCCAGTTCATACTAATATCTACAGGTGTGTATTAGTTTGTTCTGGTTCTGAATGTCATAAACATCTCAGGACTAGGTAAAGAATCAAGAAATTCATGGAAATATATGTGAAGCAAAAGAGAGAAAATACTTCCCTCAAGTCTTAATTGCTGAGAAGAGAGAAATCCTGTGTGGATTTTATTTTAATTGAATTAGAATTCAAAGAACAAGGGAGGGGAGGAAAGAGGTGGAAAGGATGCTTAATCATCATGTCAGAAAAGAAATTCTTTCTAATAAATGTGAAATAGGACAATGATGTCATTGCTGTCCATTCATTCTATCTCCCAGTATTTTCCCTGTCTTTTTGGGTCTTAAGAATTTGGGCTGGGTTGACTAGGAATTCACCATTCAGCAAAGTGGGGAGTGAAAGAAAAAGGTGAACGGAGATGGAAAAAGAAAAGGGAAAGGAAAAAAGTAGAAGAGAAGATGATCAAAGAGCAGGATGAGCAGAGAGAGATGGGCAAAAGAGTCAGTCTCTTCACTGGAGAAAGGAAATAGTATCCTTTATTTCTTTTGGGTCTCCTAAAGAGAGAGATATAAAATGTGTTGTGTGTGTATTTATATATATTCCAGCAGATGTGAATAAGCCTCCAGCTGTCTATAAGTAATTTCGTCCTTCAATTCCTTAATTTTGGCAAAGTTTGAGGCTTTTTAGGGAGTCAATTTTGAAGACCATGTATGTGCAAAGGATAAGTGACTGTCTGTGAAAGTCATTATCTTTATTTTTAAAGAGGCATTTGGGTAAAGGAAGTCAAACTCCTAATACCCAGCCATTGGTCATGCATCTGAAAGCACACACACACAAAAACGGGAAATTCATGCAGTTGTATGCAATTATGGAAAGTGCAGAAAAACCATCTGTTCTTGGAAATAAAATCTTCCTCAATCCCCTGGATGTCAGAAGCCCAAGCGAATGTGGGGGAAGTGACTGTTAAAACTAATTTTGTATGTGAAAAGTATGTATGCTTTATCCAAACGGAACTGCACACCCCTGGAAGGTTCTATTAAATTTTTTCCAGTGAATTGACAAGTGTTTTTTACAAAACTATCTCCAGTATTGTTCTTGAAGCATGACTAGTCTCCAGATTCACTGATGGGCCATGTTAATCAGTACAGGCACATGTTATTTGCAAATGGAATTCAGGTCAAGAGCAAGACACTGTAAGCTTAAAAGGAAAGTTTTTGAAATGCAATGTTATTTATCTGTTTTAACCTGTAAAAAGCAGATCAAGCATCCAGTGAGTTAACAAATCTGACACTGACAGATGCAATGGGTTGAGGATGGGTGTGGACAGAAACGCTCCTCCCACCTCTACATTACCCCAGGAGTCTTCACTTTCGCAACCTTCATGACACTACTTTTGGGAAGCACTGCCTAAGTTATCTCACTGGAGCCTCCAATTATTTCTACAACTTAGTACACAGTTGCTTAGCACTTCTATACTTGATTTATATGTGATTAATTTCAAAGTATGTACATGTTACTTGTAAATCTTTGAGGGCGCTTTTCTGAGTTTCCTGCTGCTCTGCCTAAAATGCAAATTGTTTATAACCTTCCATGTGACTGTTTTCCCACCTGCCAGTATTGACCTGGCTTTACTAGAAAATTTATTATCTTACAAAAGCTTTTCCCTAAGGTGGAATAAAAACTCCACAGGGGACGATATAGTGGGGGTGAGAGGTCTCTCTCAGCTTCCCACCTCTCCTCTCTTCATTCTCCTTTTTACTTACATTCCTTTCACAGAAGAAATCGTTCTTTTTTGAGAGGGAGCAAGAACAGGGCTTGATATTTTACTTAAGAAAAAAAACTCAAATGATCAAGGTTTGAACTGTGATTATCATTATGCAGCCATATTTCTAGAACAAGCTGCTTTTACCATCTTGAGATTTCAATGACCTTTTGAAAGAAAGCATCTTCTCCAGTACAAGTTGTAACTTTTATTTATGGGAAATTTTAAAAAGACTGTCACATCCTTAGTCTGATAAATAGGTTGTGTGTGGCTTTAAAGGAAATAAGAAAAAGCCTGCCAACAACCAGTGGGATGTAAAATATAGACTGTTAAAAAAAGCATGTCTCAAACCTTCACAATGGTAAACACTTGGAAACCAATGAACAACCCTTAGATTGTATTCTGACTGATAGGTGTGATTAAGGAAAAGATGAAAGCTGATGCTATTCTACAATACAGTTGTAGTAAATTCTTATAATTTTATGTTGTCTTGGCATCCCTTTTAAATGTAGGTTTAACTTTCTCATACCAAAAGCAGGGCTCAGTCACCCTTGATGCAATTTCCGGTGCTATACCACACCCAAATGGCTCAAGCTGGTGGCCAGAGATAAGAACTCAGAAGCATCTCTGCCACCTGCCTGACTGGACTCCTCGTGTTCCCAGCGTGCCCTTTAAGTGGGCCATTCAGGCATTTACCTGGGAATTTAAAGTGACACACACCCTGTTCCCTTGTACAAACTACTAGCTGCCATGCATTCTCCATCTCTGCCTGACTTTTCAATCCTTCCTTGCATAACCCAGGGATGAAGCACTTCTCCGCATCGCACCCTGACTCATTATGCTGTCCTTGCCCAGGATCTGTAAGTAAAAGTCTTTGAACTTGCTTCCTGTTGTGGTGGTATATTGAATTTGCACCGTCTGAAGAACCAGGGGCTGTCCCAGGCTGGGTTTTCCCTGGGAAACTGGGGAGAACACAAGGTTGGGCTCCCAGTGCCACAGCAATGGGCAGGGAGACATAAACTGGACATGGGTCAGACAAGAGCCACAAGGGCATCTGCCAGCATAAACAAGCTGCCTGTATGAGAGACCCTCCTGGTCACAGGTGGGACAACTGGGCACTAGGCTGTCCTCCAGTCAAAAGAAGCATCCCGTAAGAGGCACACAGCAAACATCCACGTTCAGCTCCCCTTTATTTCCTGTTAAGACAGGGTGGCTAGCCACTCTGGTGCTGAAACCCCAAGTTAGCTGGGCCCTCTCAAAACAACACTTGCCTCTATTTACCCATGTTCATGCACATGTCACACACACACCCTGATGGAAGCCACTGCATACCATTAGACTTTTCTCTTTGGCACAGATGCATCGTTCAATTCCCAAGCCCGAAACAAATCCCAAGATTATTAAAAGTGAATATGTCAGGGAAGACACTGATTTTATTCAGCAAGTGATTTTCCACCTCCTTAGTTACTGACTCATTATGCTCTCCTTGCATATCACTAATAGTTATGGAACTTTTTTCTAAGTAATTCACATATGTGACATCTCCTACATTTTACTTGAAGTTGTTGACCAAATAGATGCTGACTGATAACATAGTTTTTCAGGAAGGAAGTTAACTTGGGGAAAATGGAGAAATTAATCCTTCTTTAAAATTCACAGACTAGTGATATATCTTATGAGCCACTGTAGTTAGTGGTATGATATGCTTGAATGTTCACTGAGTTGAGTTGTACATGTAATTCTGTTACTGATAAAATGAAAGGTCCAAAGAATGAAGCCTAATTTGCCTTTATAAATTAGATTTATCATTATTCCTACTATAAAGTCATAGTCACTTGCTTTCTGGTAGCCTTTTGAGAGTGACGGACATAATAATGATAATGATAGTAATAATAACAATGATAAATAGTAGCCATGTTGGCTATAACAGGGTCCTGGGTAGACACAGTGACTGAAAGCAGCATTCACAGTGACAACTATAATAACTAACTGTATTAGTTTGTTCTCATGCTGCTAATAAAGACATATCTGAGACTGGGTAATTGATAAAGAAAAAGAGGTTTAATGGACTCACAGTTCCACATGGCTGGGAAGGCCTCACAATCATGGCAGAAGGCAAAGGAGGAGCAAGGGCACATCTTACATGGCAGCAGGCAAGAGAGAGCATGTGCAGGGGAACTGCCCTTTATGAAAGCATCAGATCTCATGAGACTTATTCATTATCATGAGAAAAGCATGGGAAAAACCCATCTCCATGATTCAATTACCTCCCACCAGGTCCCTTCCATGACACGTGGGGATTATGGGAACTACAATTCAAGATGAGATTTGGGTGGGGACACAGTCAAACCGTATCACTAACATTTATGGAACCTTTAATAACTGCCTGATGAAGTTCCAAGTATTTCATGTACGTAATATTGTTAAGTCCTCACAAAAACACTGAGTATCAGGCTTTCATCTCCATTTTACAAAAGAGGCAACCAAGGCACAGAGAGATACAGAAACTTATCCAAAATCACACATCCAGTAAATATATCCATAGATGTGGATTGCCTATGTGAAAACAATGTGTGTCGTGCATTATGGTACATGTAAAAACAAAATAATTTGGCATACATTAGATACTCTTTTGTGCAGAGATTTAAGTGGGCAATTTGCTCATTCACATGTGTTTACATTGCTGCATATAAATGAATGTTTGCTTGAGGAGGAAGTGGTTCCTCACCAGGTTGCACAACAAAATATACTGAGCAAGTATTTTCAAAATGCACATGCTGAGGTGCCACTGCAAATCAATGGAACCAGAATCTCCAGCATTTACAAAAACAAACACCCAGTGAGAATGATGCATCTTGATTAAGAACAGCTGGTCTTTTAGTAATCTTATAGATGTTTCTCCATGTCATCATAATGGTTAACAATCGCCTTTAAAGTCTTTGATTGAACACAAATAATACATTAATTGGACTAACAAACATGCCTGTCTTTATACTACCAGGGTAATATGAACATGTCACCAGTGAAATTTTTTGTTTTCATTTAAGGAATACTTTTTTGATTATTTAGTCTGGTAACTATCAGCATATCAAAGAAGATGTGAAAAGAAGCACTTTGAAGCTACAAGAACTCCACTGCAGCCTAGGCAGAGGTGAGATGACAAAAATGTTTGACTAAAATAGTTTTGGCAATGAGAGCTTTTCTGAAGTCTAAGTTTATAGTAATAAGAATATATATAATAATTCCTTATTAAACAACACAAATTTGAGATTACAGTAATTTGGGGTTACAGAATACATTTCCACTATTTATGAAGTGAGAGCCTCTTAAAAGTTTTGGAGCATTCATCTTTAACTCAGTGAAAGGTACCAATATATTTTGAGTACCACTGATGATATGCAAACCAAGTTTGTTAGGAATGAGTTACTGGCTCATTAAAACAACAGTCTGCTGCTAAACATCTGTTTGACAATTGGATCTGAGGCTGCTTTGATGTGGTATATGAAGTATGCATTTTAAAACACTAAAATAGCACTCTTTAAAGGTATTCTATATGTCAGACTTCACTCATTCACACAGCTTATCCATAAGTTTTTAATGAACGAAGTTGTTTTTGTACCACCCCCCATGATTCCATTACTGAATGTTCAGAATGAACTTCTGGACCTCTGCTACTTACAAAGACAAAGAAAAGGGAGAAGAGAGAAGGCCCTAATTAATTTATGCCCATAACATAAGTAATTAAGAATTTCAAATGACTCCATGTGGCTGGGAGTGCTTTAATTCCCCCATAAACAATGTATACTAATACTGAAAGCCCTTTCTTAATACACATGATCTTAATACACATGAAAGCTACCTTTCTCGGGCAACCATTAGTATCCCCCAAAACATGAAAAAACGGTATGGCTGGAAAGATGGCTAAATAGGAAGAGCTCCGGTCTGCAGCTCCCAGCAAGATTGACACAGAAGGCAGGTGATTTCTGCATTTCCAACTGAGGTACCAGGTTCATCTCATTGGGAATGGCTTGACAGTGGGTGCAGCCCATGGAGGGTGAGCCGAACCAGGGTGGGGTGTCACCTCACCTGGGAAGTGCAAGGGGTCAGGGAATTTTCTCCCCTACCCAAGGGAAGCCGTGAGGCACTAAGCCCGAGGAACCATGCACCTCAGCCCTGATACTGCACTTTTCCCACAGTCTTCAAAACCCATAGACCAGGAGGTACCCTCCAGTGCCTACCCCACTGGGGCCCTGGGTTTCAAGCACAAAACTGGGTGACCATTCGGGCAGACACTGAACTAGCTGCAGGAGTTTTTTCTTCCATACCCCAGTGGCGCCTGGAATGCCAGCGAGACAGAACTATTCACCCCCCTGGAAAGGAAGCTGAAGCCAAGGAGCCAAGTGGTCTGGTTCAGTGGGTCCCAACCCCATGGAGCCCAGCAAGCTAAGATCTGCTGGCTTGAAATTGTCGCTGCCAGCACAGCAGCAGTCTGAGATCAACCTGGGATGCTGAAGCTTGGTTGGGGGAGGGGAGTCCACCATTGCTGAGGCTTGAGTAGGTAGTTTTACCCTCACAGTGTAAACAAAACCGCCAGGAAATTCGAACTGGGTGGAGCCCACTGCAGCTCAGCTAGGCTGCTATGGCCAGACTGCCTCTCTAGATTTCTCCTGTCTGGGAAGGGCATCTCTGAAAAAAAGACAGCAGCCCCAGTCAGGGATAACTTATAGATAAAACCCTCATCTCCCTGGGACAGAGCACCTGGGGAAAGGGGCAGCTGTGGGCGCAGCTTCAACAGACTTAAACGCCCCTGCCCAACGGCTCTGAAGAGAGCAGCAGACCTCTCAGCACAGTGTTTGAGCTTTGCTAAGGGTCAGACTGCCTCTTCAAGTTAGTCCCTGACTCTCATGTATCCTGACCGGAAGACAACTCCCAGGTGGAGCCAACAGATACCTCATGCAGGAGAGCTCCAACTGGCATCTGGCACGTGCTCCTCAGATGAAGATTCAAGAAAAAAGAACAGGCAGCAATCTTTGCTGTTCTGCAGCCCTGCTAGTGATACCCAGGCAAACAGGGTACGGAGTGGACCTCTAACAAACTCCAGCAGACCCACAGCAGAGGGACCTGTTGGAAAGAAAACTAACAAAAAGGAATAGCACATCCACTCAGCAACCCTGTCGGAAGATCACCAACAACAAAGACTAAAGGTAGATAAATCCACGAAGACGGGGAGAAACCAGTGCAAAAAGGCTGAGTATTCCAAAACCCAGAACACCTCTTCTCCAAAGGATCACATGTCCTCAACAGCAAGAGAACAAAACTGGATGGAGAATGAGTTTGATAAATAGATAGAAGTAGGCTTCAGAAGGTGGGTAATAACAAACTCCTCCGAGCTAAAGGAGCTTGTTCTAACCCAATGCAAGGAAGCTAAGAACCTTGAAAAAAGGTTAGAGAAATTGCTAACTAGAATATCCAGTTTAGAGAAGAACATAAATGACCTGACAGAGCTGAAAAACACAGCACGAGAATTTCGTGAAGCATACACAAGTATCGATAACCAAATCGATCAAGCGGAAGAAAGGATATCAGAGAGTGAAGATCAACTTAATGAAATAAAGCTAGAAGACAAGATTAGAGAAAAAACAATGAAAAGGAATGAATAAAACCTGCAAGAAATCCAGGACTATGTGAAAAGACCAAATCTACACTTGATTGGCGTACCTGAAAGTGACAAAGAGAATGGAACCAAGCTGGAAAACACTCTTTAGGATATTATCCAGGAGAACTTCCCAACCTAGCAAGACAGGCCAACATTCAAATTCAGGAAATACAGAGACCACCACAAAGATACTCCTCGAGCAGAGCAACCCCAAGACACATAATTGTCAGATTCAACAGGGTTGAAACCAGGGAAAAAGTGTTAAGGGCAGCCAGAGAGAAAGGTTGAGTTACCCACAAAGGGAAGCCCATCAGACTAACAGCAGATCTCTGCAGAAACCCTACAAGCCAGAAAAGAGTGGGGCCAGTATTCAACATTCTTAAAAGAATTTTCAACTCAGAATTTCATATCCAGCCAAACTGAGCTTCATAATTGAAGGAGAAATAAAATCCTTTACAGACAAGCAAATGCTGAGAGATTTTGTCACAACCAGGCCTGCCTTACAGGAGCTCTTGAAGGAAGCACTAAACATGGAAAAGAACACCCAGTACCAGTCGGGTGTTTTGCAAAAACATACCAAATTGTAAAGATCATTGACACTAGAAAGAAACTGCATCTACTAATGGGCAAAATAATCAGTTAGCATCATAATGATAGGATCAAATTCACACATAACAATATTAACCTTAAATGTAAACAGGCTAAATGTCCCAATTAAAAGATACAGACTGGAAAATTGGACAAGAGTCAAGACCCATCAGTGTGCTGTATTCAGGAGACCCATCTCACATGGAAAAAAAACACATAGGCTCAAAATAAAGAGATGGAGGAATATTTACCAAGCAAGTGGAAAGCAAAAAACGAGCAGGAGTTGCAATCCTAATCTCTAATAAAACAGACTTTAAACCAACAAAGATCAAAAATGACAAAGAAGGGCACTACATAGTGGTAAAGGGATCAATGCAACAAGAAGAGCCAACCATCATAAATATATATGCACCCAATACAGGAGCACCCAGATTCATAAAGCAAGTTCTTAGAGACCTACAAAGAGACCTAGACTCCCACACAATAATAGTGGGAGACTTTAACACCCCACTGTCAATACTAGACCAACGAGACAGAAAATTAACAAGGATATTCAGGACTTGAACTCAGCTCTGGACCAAGCAGACCTAATAGACATCTAAGAACTCTCCACTCCAAATCAACAGAATATACATGCTTCGCAGCACCTCAATGCACTTATTCTAAAATTGACCACATAAATGGAAGGAAAACACTCCTCAGCAAATGCAAAAGAACAGAAATCATAACAGTCTCTCACACTACAGTACAATCAAATTAGAACTCAGGATTAAGAAATTCACTCAAAACTGCACAACTACATGGAAACTGAACAACCTGCTCCTGAATGACTACTGGGTAAATAACAAAATGAAGGCAGAAATAAAGATGTTCTTTGAAACCAATGAGAACAAAGACACAATCTCTGGGACAGAATCTCTGGGACACACTGAAAGCAGTGTGGAAAGGGAAACTGATAGCACTAAATGCTCACAAGAGAAAGCAGGAAAGATCTAAAATCGACACCCTAACATCACAATTAAAAGAACTGGAGAAGCAAGAGCAAACAAATTCAAAAGCTAGCAGAAGACAAGAAATAACTAAGATGACAGTAGAAGTGAAGGTGATAGAGACACACAAAAAAAAACCCCTTCAAAAAAATCAATGAATCCAGGAGCTGGATTTTTGAAAAGATCAACAGAATAGATGGACTGCTAGCCAGATTAATAAAGAAGAAAAGAGAGAAGAATGAACTAGACACAAGAAAAATGAGGCCGGGCGTGGTGGCTCAAGCCTGTAATCCCAGCACTTTGGAAGGCCGAGACGGGTGGATCACGAGGTCGGGAGATCATCCTGGCTAACACAGTGAAACCCCGTCTCTACTAAAAAATACAAAAAACCTAGCCGGGCGAGGTGGCGGGCGCTTGTAGTCCCAGCTACTCGGGAGGCTGAGGCAGGGGAATGGCGCAAACCCGGGAGGCGGAGCTTGCGGTGAGCTGAGATCCCGCCATTGCACTCCAGCCTGGGCGACAGCGCGAGACTCCCTCTCAAAAAAAAAAAAAAAAAGAAAAATGATACAGGGGATATTACCACAGATCCCACAGAAATACAAACTACCATCAGTGAATACAATACACACCTCTACACATATAACCAGAAAATCTAGAAGAAACAGATAAATTCCTGGACACATACACCCTCCCAAGTCTAAATCAGGAAGAAATCAAATCCCTGAATAGACCAATAACAAGTTCTGAAATTGAGGCACTAATTAATATCCTACCAACCAAAAAAAAAAAAGTCCGGGACCAGATGGATTCACAACCAAATTCTACCAGAGGTACAAAGAGGAGATGGTACCATTCCTTCTGAAACTCTTCCAAACAATAGAAAAAGAGGGAATCCTCCTCATTTTATGAGGCCAGCATCATCCTGATACCAAAACCTGGCAGAGACACAGCAAAAAGAGAAAATTTCAGGCCAATATCCCTGATGAACATGGATGCGAAAATCCTCAATAAAATACTGGCAAACTGAATCTGGCAGCATATCAAAAAGCTTATCCACCACGATCCAAGTCGGCTTTGTCCCTGGGATGCATGGCTGGTTCAACATATGCAAATCAATAAACATAATACATCACATAAACAGAACCAATGACAAAAACCACATGATTATCTCAATAGATGCAGAAAAGGCCTTCGACAAAATTCAACACCCCTTCATACTAAAAACTCTCAATAGACTAGGTATCAGTGGAACATATCTCAAAATAATAAGAGCTATTTATGATAAACCCACAGCCAATATCATCCTGAATGGGCAAAAACTGGAAGCATTCCCTTAAAACCAGCATAAGACAAGGATGCCCTCTCTCACCATTCCTATTCAGTATAGTATTGGAAGTTCTGGCCAGGGCAATCAGGCAAGAGAAAGAAATAAAGCGTATTCAAATAGGAAGAGAGGAAGTCAAATTGTCTCTGTTTGCAGATGACATGATTGTGTATTTAGAAAACACCACTGTCTCAGTGCAAAATCTCCTTAAGCTGATAAGCAACTTCAGCAAAGTCTCAGAATACAAAATCAATGTGCAAATATCACAGGTATTTCTATACACCAATAATGGACAAACAGCCAAATCATGAGTGAACTCCCATTCGCAATTGCTACTAATAGAATAAAATACCTAGGAATAGAACTTACAAGGGATGTGAAGGACTTCTTCAAGAAGAACAACAAACCACTGCTCAAGGAAATAAGAGAGGACACAAACAAAAAACATCCCACACTCATGGATAGGAAGAATCAATATCATGAAAATGGCCATACTGGCCAAAGTAATGTATAGATTCAATGCTATCCCCGTCAAGCTACCATCGACTTTCTTCATAGAATTGGAAAAAGCTACTTTAAACTTCATGTGGAACCAAAAAAGAGCCCTCATAGCCAAGACAATCCTAAGCAAAAAGAATAAAGCTGAAGGCATCATGCTACCTGACTTCAAACTATACTACAAGGCTACGGTAACCAAAACAGCATGGTACTGGTATAAAAACAGACATACAAGACAATGGAACAGAACAGAGCCCTCAGAAATAATACCACACATCTACAACTATCTGATCTTTGACAAACCTGACCCAAAGAAGCAATGGGGAAAGGATTCCCTATTTAATAAATGGTGTTGGGAAAACTGGCTAGCCATACGCAGAAAACTGACACTGTACTCCTTCCTTACAGTTTATACAAAAATTAATTCAAGATGGATTACAGACTTAAACATAAGATGGAAAACCACAAAAATCCTAAAAGAAAACCTAGGCAATACCATTCAGGACTTAGGCATGGGCAAAGACTTCATGTCTAAAACACCAAAAGCGATGGTAACAAAAGCCAAAATTGGCAAATGGGATCTAATTAAACTAAAGAACTTCTGCACAGTAAAAGAAACTATCATCACAGTGAGCAGGCAACCTACAGAATCGGAGAAAATTTTTGCAATCTATCCCTTTGACAAAGGGCTAATATCCAGAATCTACAAAGAACTTAAACAAATTTACAAGAAAAAAAAAAAATCATAAAGTGTCCAAAGGATATGAACAGACACTTCTCAAAATAAGACATTTCTGCAGCCAACAAACATATGAAAAAAGCTCATCATCACTGGTCATCAGAGAAATGCAAATCAAAACCACAATGAGATACCATCTCATGCCAGTTAGTATAGGGATCATTAAAAAGGCAGGAAACAACAGATGCTGGAGAGGATGTGGAGAAATAGGAAAGCTTGTACACTGTTGGTGGGAGTGTAAATTAGTTCACCCATTGTGGAAGACAGTGTGATGATTCCTCAAGGATCTAGAACCAGAAATACCATTTGACCCAGCAATCCCATTACTGGGTATATACCCAAAGGATTATAAATCATTCTACTATAAAGACACATGCATACGTATGTTTATTGCGGCGCTGTTCACAATAGCAACCCAAATGTACATCAATGATAGACTGGATAAAGAAAATGTGGCACATATATACCATGGAATACTATGGAGCTATAAAAAAGGATGAGTTCATGTCCTTTACAGGGACATGGATGAAGCTGGAAACCATCATTCTAATCAAACTGACACAAGAACAGAAAATCAAACACCACATGTTCTCACTCATAAGTGGGAGTTGAACAATGAGAACAGATGGACACAGGGAGGGTAACATCACACACTGGAGCCTGTTGGGTGGTGGGGGACTAGGGGAGGGATAGCATTAGGAGAAATACCCAATGTAGGTGATGGGTGTAGCAAACCACCATGGCACGTGTATACCTATGCAACAAACCTGCACGTTTTGTACCTGTACCCTAGAACTTATAAAAATAAAAAAAAGTTTGCACTGAAGAGCAAACAAAAACCACAACAATTCCAGATAAATGTTTTTAAATTAGAGCAGGTCAACCTAATTGTTTTCTGCTTTTCAGACTGGCAACGTTTGAGAATTTCATGATTTTCCATAAAATCTATAAATAAATATTCCTCTTTCAAAAGGAGTGCAGGGCCCCTCTGCTGGGATCCAGAAACAAAGCTAACAAGGCCTTCAGACAGGGGATTTCCACTGGTCCTTTGTCACTACTGAGCCCAAAAGTGCATGGGCAGCAAGTTACCAAATCGCCTTCCGTAAGGTCTACAAACCCATCTGGGACACATGGCAGGGACCAACACAGGCGAGTCTGGTGCAAAGAAAGATTCAGGCTCTGACATTGGGGGCCCAGGCTGGATGTGAATTGCTGGTCTTTTACCATTGGGCTGGTGCCCGCTTCTTGAAATAGGTGCTAATCAACTGTCTGCATTTTGATAAAATGGGTTAATTGATAACAAATGTATACGTTCCCTGAGCTATCCTTGGTACTGAGCAATGATTTCTTTCTTTCTTTCTTTCTTTTTTTTATTATACTTTAAGTTCTAGGGTACATGTGCACAACATGCAGGTTTGTTACATAAGTATACATGTGCCATGTTGGTGTGCTGCACCCATTGACTCATCATTTACATTAGGTATATCTCGGTTTTCTAACCCTCCAGGTTAAAGCTTATCCAGCATCTAGAACTATAATATCTTCACCCAGTCTCTATGTGCTGAAATGCTATTGTGATTGCTCATATATACACTTGCCATTTATATGTTCATTATGAACCTTTAGCTATTCCATCTTTCTGCACGTATTATTGGTGCTCTAACCTATCTTGTGTTCCAGCTTCCTGACTTCCCATGTTCCAACTCCACTTCTGCTGGAGGCAGAATAGAAACCCCATCAGTTATCACAACTCAGTAAGTCCCAGCACAATGCACTTGCATTGCTCTTCTCTGTGAGGTCCCTCACTGTGTCCTGGAGAGAAAAGAAGCTTTTAACATGAGAATTTTTCTTCACAAATCCATCATAAGGCTATCTTTTTCTTCCTAGATGCTTTCCAATGACTACTCTGGTGCTGACTTTCCCAGGCTATTTTCAAAGCATAGGTTTTCAGGAAGACAAGATGGTGTTGTTGCAATGATTCTGTTCAGAGAAAAGGATGTTCATATTCTGCCAGCTACAAATGCATTAATTAACACTCAAATCACAATGAAGTCTCCACAGAATCACAAGCTGCTGCCATGTTGCAGAATCTGTTATTATAGAATGAAACAAAAATGATGATTGACTTTAGAAAATAAGTACTACATTCCACCCTATCAAGAAGCCACTGATCCCTCCATATCTAGAAAGGACACAAACATGTTATAATTCAGAAAAATGGCTGACTTTGTGTCTTTACATTCTACTCCAGTGCAAAGATACTTCGCTGTGGGATGGAAAACAATTCAAGGCTAATTATCAGAGTCCTCTTCAACACTGCAGTATATCCAGAAATTACCCAGGGAACACGTAGACGGATGCCAAGGGGGAGCTGAATATTCAGGGAACCCTGAAGAGAATATTTGAATTGTTATATCCAGTTGTTCATCTACTTGTTTTATACAATTGCATGAGCAATCACTTGCAGGTGAGCTACTCATGCAGCACAATGTGGGAGGCGACAGAGTGGCATGAGTGGGGCAATTACCTTCTCTCCTGGAGACTTTTATGGTGTAGATTTCTTGTGCCCCTAATCAGAACATTGCAAACCCTAGGGAAGCATTGGGGACAGACCCTTAGCAAAATGTCCCGTTATTTTCAGCAAGGCAGTGAACTAATGGGGGCAAGGGGAGCAGAGGGAGCATTCTGTTCCAGGGCAATCAAAGGAGGCTTTGTCTGCAGGGAATTTAAAAATAAATTCCAAAAGCTCAGTTGGTTTATCTGGTACCAGCAATTCTAAACAATGTCAGTGATTAAAGACTCTTTTGACAGGCAGAGGACTCGATTTCTTCCCACCCCTATTCTCTCAGTCCCTCACTGTCAGCCACTGCTGTGCTGCTGTGAAGATATTCAATGCTGTGTTACCCTTGTCTTCTTTGGATTTACCTGAGCCTGTGCTGCCCTGGGCTGTGGTTTCTAACCAGAAATTACTGTAGGTAGCATAGGTAGAATTGAGTGTGTATAGGCCAGGCATGGTGGCTCACGTCTGTAATCCCAGCACTTTGGGAGGCCGAGGTGGGCAGATCACTTGAGGTCACAAGTTTGAGACCATCCTGGCCAGCAAGGTGAAACCCCACCTCTACTGAAAATACAAAAATTAGCCGGGCATGGTGGTGCATGGTGGTGGCCCCAGCTACTTGGGAGGCTGAGGTAGGAGAATTGCTTGAAGCCAGGAGGCACAGATTGCAGTGAGCTGAGATTTTGCCACTGCACTCCAGCCTGGGCGACAGAGCGAGACTCTGTCTCAAAACAAAACCAGAATTTTGTGTGTGTGTGTGTGTAGGGAGGACAGTTCATGGTTAACCTGTGAGCTACTTTCAGTGTTTCAAATATCATCACACTTCCATTGCACACTCACTAACATCTCAAGTGCTTTTGCTTTTAGTTTAAATTATTTAAACATAGCAGGGCAATGCTTATGCAGGGGGTGAGTGGTACACACAGGCGTTGGGATCAGGCTGACCTAGGTGGGGTCCTGGCTCTGTCACTGACCAGATGTAAGCCCTGGGAAACTAGGGTACTCCTTGTGAGATGTGGATAGTCCTATATTTCAGCCTACCTTACAAAGAACTAGAAGAGGGCTAGAGGAATAAGTGTAAAATATTCTATATAGGGCTGAAGACACAGGAAATGCTCAATAAATTGTAGTTTTTGTTACATACTGACCAGAAGCTGTTATTGACACTTATTTCAATAGTTGTATATATATGCATATATATATCAATATATATTTAATGAGACAATAGAATATCCTAAGTTTCCATTCCCCTCCCTGTAATATCAATGAAGAGATGTGTGTTGAGTAATGATAGTGCCAAACTATATTAGTTCCTTAAAAAAAAGGAATTAGAAAAAAAATATCAAAATATAAGGTCCATAGGGAAGATAACAATATTTTTGCCAGAGAAAGATGTTCTAAAACAGTGGTTCTCAAACTTGAATGTGCATAGGAATCACCTGGATGGCTTGTTAGAACTAAATTTCTGGCTCTAGAGTTTCTATTTAATAGGTCTGTGTTGGAACTCAAGGATTTGCCAGGTGAGGTGGGCATGGTGGCTCATGCCTGTAATCCCAGTACTTTGGGAGACCAAGGCAGGAGGATCGCTTGAGCTCAGGAGTTTGAGATCAGCCTGGGCAACATAGGGAGACCCTGTTTCTACAAATAATTTTGAAAAATTAACCAGGTGTTATGGTACCTATCTATGTTTCTAGATACTTGGGAAGCTGAGGCAGGAGGGTCACCTGAACCCAGGAGGTCAAGGCTGCAGTGAGCTGAGATCATGCCACTGCACTCCAGCCTAGGTGAGAGAGGGAGACTAGGTCTCAAAAAAAAAAAAATTTCCCAGGTGGTAAAGCAGCTTTGGCTCCTGGTCTAAGGATCGTACTGAGAACCACTGTGCTAGAAGTCAGTACTTCTAGACTTTAACATGCACACAAATCACCTGGGGTGATTTGAACTTATTAAAATTGAGACTCTCATTCAATAGGTCGGAGGAAGGGCATGAGAATTCTGCATTTCTAACAAGCTCTCAAACGATGCCAATACTGCTGGTCTGCAGATCACACTTGGAGTAGCAAGGCAGTAGGGCTGCTGTGTCTGATACAGCAGTGAAAAGCCACATGTAGCCATTGAACCCTTAAAATGTGGCTAGACCCAATGGACAAATGTTCATATGTATAAAATACACACTGGATTTAGGAGACTTAGTATCAATAATGTAAAATATATCGATAATTTTTAATACTGATGGGTTAAATATTTTTTGGCTTTCAATTTTTTTAACATACAGAAGATTTAGCATTACGTACATGGTCTCATTATATTTCTATTGGATAGCCCTGCTGTAGAGAACATTAAATAGCCTCTGCCTCCGGAGCCCAACACTAGTCTTGAAGCAGCTCCAATGTGCCACTGACTGCTTTGTAAAAATGTCTTTTCAATGTCCTTTTTTTTTTTTTTTAAGACAGTGTCTCGCTCTGTCACCAGGCTGGACTGCAGTGGCAAGATCTCTGCTCACTGCAACCTCCGCCTCCCAGGTTCAAGTGATTCTCCTGCCTCAGCCTCCTGAGTAGCTGGGACTACAGGCATGCACCACCACGCCTAGCTAATTTTTGTATTTTTAGTAGAGACGGGGTTTCACCATGTTGGCCAGGATGGTCTCAATCTCTTGACCTCATGATCTGCCTGCCTCAACCTCCCAAAGTGCTGGGAAAATATTTCTTTCAGTAAGTCAAAAATCTTCAATGGTTCTCCACTGTAGAAAAGATAAACCTCAAACTTTTTAGCATCCCAGGCCATCCAGTCTACACAATCTTCTTTGCCAATGTATGTATAGTTGCTTCCCTAAAGACAGAGCACAAAAGTATTTGCTGTTTGATTAATGATGATTCTGATCCATATTTTAAAGGGAGAAGTCAATTGGCCTTGCCTGACATCTGCCTCTCCTCTCATGCAGTTGTTCCCCGCACATCTGGAAGCCCTGCAGCTCTGGGAGCTAATGAATCCTCTCCCAGTGGCAAATAACTCACAATTGCTCTGTCACTCAGGTTAAACTTAACAAGTGAAACTTTCTGATACTTGGCCATCGGTATCCCTAAGAAACCAAATACATTTTTGTTTGTTTGTTTCTCCAGAGGCATTCTCCAAATTGGTGTGAGTTTTAAGTGTTTTTGAAAAATTGTTGACTTTTAAAACTATTCTGAGATTATTTATACCTAACCTGTATCTCTGTCTCTATCTGTATCATCTCCAGGGCTTATTCCCGACCTTTCCTTGCACCCCTTGATTACATGTCATCTTCACTTTGTGATGGTCTTTGTTCCCAAATTCTCAAATACATTCAAGGGCAAATAGAAAGCCAGCTATAGCACTGGCAGGGCGAAGTGGCTCACGCTTGTAATCCCAGCACCGTGGGAGGCCGAGGCAGGTGGATCACTTGACATCAGGAGTTCAAGATCAGCCTGGCCAACATGGTGAAACCCCATCTCTACTAAAAATACAAAAATTAGCCAGGTGTGGTGGTGGGCGCCTGAAATCCCAGCTACTTGGGAGGCTGAGGCACAGGAATCACTTGAACTCGTGCCACTGCACTCCAGTCTGGGCGACAGAGCGAGACTCTGTCTCTGAAAAATAAAAAAAAATAGAAAAGCCAATCGTAGTACCATCTAAAGAAAAGGAATGGTGGAGGTCTAAGTTCATGTTACTGTAACTTAAACAACAGCAAAAGGAAAGTGGAATATTCATATAATTTCCACTAACTCCATCCCTAACTCAAGTATTCATTTCAAAACATAATTTGTAATCTTCCCTTAATAAAGCTCTTACTCAAAATTATGAGCCTGTTAACATGTTATTTGCGTGTTTGGTTTATCTTAATCTTGCTTTATTTTGAAGTATGATTTCTCCCACAGGCTTCTGAGGATGAGTTCAGACCCACCAGTTCTAGAACAAATATATATATTTTAAAATTTTAGTAAGTATGGCTGGTGATACATGGTAGTATGCTTTGCTTTACTGTAGTTTGAGTATCTTGTTAAGACATCATTCCTTGTTAAATATTTGTAATGTTATCAAACGACTGTCAAATATTATCAAATGGGCTGTCTCTCAACTGGCCCAGTATAATCAAATCATCCCAGCCCCACATGGCTACCATCATGTATAATGCTTTATTTGTCAAATGCAATGAGAACCCACCACAGGTCATGGTGCTTCCAAAAAGAGGAAATAAAGAGAGTAAGGGGAAAGCAATGATCAGTACATCAGACTAGCTGGACTCTAAGGCAGAGGTTCTCACATTTTCTTGGATCACAGCACCCTTAGTGTCTCAATTATTGTTTCATGGACTCCCTAAGCCAAAAGAAACACCTAAGAGTTTGATTTTTTTTATGTAGTTAGGTCCAAATGACTTCATATTTATTTCTATCCTAACAATTTCGTAGCTGTTTGAAAAAAGTTGTACACATAAAATATATTTTTCATTCCCAAATACTCACAATTACTCACTAATGGGATGTGTGGACCTGTTCAGCACTGCACAGCTTTTCAAACCTTGGAATCAGATTGGAAATTGCTTCATTTCTTGTTCTACGAAGAATTTTGCCTAACCCCTGTTTTCTGTTACAGCAAACACCAAAATCCTAGTTTCACCATGAACACTGATATTATTAACTGCTTCAAAATAATAGCTTCTGTGGTGACCAGAGCAACAAATTTCACTAGGTTTGCCTTGAAAATTTGAAATATCCACAGCACCTACATGAATTTGCTGCGGTGCCCCAGGCTCTACCTCACTGCAGTTGGAAACCATAACTCTCAGGTGTTCTCTTTTTTTACACTTATTTTTATTTTTTGACATGGAGTCTCGCTCTGTCACCCAAGCTGGAGTGCAGCGGTGTGATCTTGGCTCACTGCAATCTCCGCCTCCTGGATTCAAGCAATTCTTGTGCCTCAGCCTTCTGAGTAGCTGGGGTTACAGGCGCCCACCACAATGCCTGGTTAATTTTTGTATTTTTAGTAGAGACTGGGTTTCACCCTGTTGGCCAGGCTGGTCTCGAACTCCTGTCCTCAAGTGATCCACCCGCCTCAGCCTCCCAAAGTGCTGGGATTACAGTGTGAGCTACTGTGCCCAACCTCAGTTGTCTTCTGACTCTGAGAAGTTAAGATGCAACTGACTTTTAAACTTGAAGCTTGCAATTCCTTCCTCTCCACTTTTGGGACCCACTGCACTATGAGAGAAAAACAAGAGCATCAGAAATCCAGGGGACGGTGGATGGAAGGGCAGTAAGCATTTGAAGTACTTTGCTGTTTTTCCTGTAGGGGAGGACAAATGGATTCCTGAGGTGCAGGGCAATCAACAGATGAGATCCAAGAGTCAGAACCCTGGAATGGACCACCCGAACTTTCCCATGGAGCCCCAGGACTTCTTCCCCCAGTTCCTGCTGTTTCTCCTCCTCCCTGTAGCAGGCTTCTTAAAGCAGGTAGTTTGACCTGCTCAGCAGCACACTGCATAAAACAGTGCCGGAAGA